GATCCATATTATGTTCATAAGGGCTTTCCAATTCAAACAGCGCGTTCAAAAAAAAATGAAGCAAATTAAATTATTGATATAATATTATTTTTTAAATTATCAACAAATCGATCTATTGCTTCTTTATTGATAAACAAAATGCTTACAAAGTTACTACACCCGGATGGATTGGTAACAGACTACAAAGATAATAAAACATGTTCCATCGCATACTACTACAAAAAAAAATATATATATGACAAAAACCACAATTCACCATTGTAAATGAAAACTAAACTCGCACATAATGCACAAACACAAACGTATACACATTTTTTTCTTTCTTTCAGGAAACAAAACTGTTTTATTCACCAACTATTTGTTTTGGTCTAATGTTTTAACGCGCACACGACAGTGGCGTGAATGCGAGCGTCCTCACTCCAACGGAGTTCAATATCTACTGCAGCTGGTGGCTAGTGAATAGTGTTGTGCACTGTTTTGTAGTGTAGCAGTGACTATAGTGGTCCGATTTTAACTTCTGGGGTTCAGTTCAGTAGTCTTACTAACCAATCGCGTCGCATGTCGCTCGTGTTCTAATGTAGTGAATATAAATGAGTCACGGAACCCTAAAATCCCGGATCAAACTGTATTTGTAATGTACGCGCGTTTTACTAAGAAGGGGAAAGGTAAAACTCGTTATTTTTGGGGTTTGGGTTCAATCAATCAAGATTGTTAAAGATTGGAAGTTATTGATTGTAAAGACGGGAACACTTATGCCTGCAAGATGATTCCAAACTGATTGAATGAAAATCTATGAAGGATACCGATACTAGATAATGATAGCAATGATAATGATAATAGTTCATACAGGATTAATTAGAAGACATAAATATTTAACATGCGTCTTTATACTTAAATAGTGACATCAATGATAAAGACATAGAAGCCACATAAGCGGGTCGTGGATATATTATCGTTCACGAGACACTTGTTGCGCAAGTGTAGCCACTTCATAGGATGTATGGGACGCGGGATCGAGTTACATTTTTGATAACGTCTCTAAGCGCACGAGGGTTTGTAATGTTTGAACAAGAGAAGCACAAACAAACCACAATGGGTTTTATTATCATTATGAAATTTTTAAGAATTTAACTTTGTCTTATTTTAAGTCAGGTAAGACAAGTAGTCAGTGTCGTGAATTATGAACTCATAATACATATACACACTCATATACAACACTATCATCATAGATAGCACAAAAAAATACTTATTATGTATTGTGTTTAAATGTCATTTTTGATACATTTTCATATTATTATTGTGCCATGTGTATTTATAACGTATTCAATTTATATTCCCACTAAAAGGTCACAATAAACTGACATTTAAATTCGTTAATTTTATTAATAAAAAAAGAAATAAAACGAAACTACAATCCACAGAGATCCGTATCTGATTAGTTGATACGAAAATTCATAAATTAATTTATGTTTTTTTGCGTTTATAAACGAAAATTTTAGGGTAAGATTTAATTACGAATACATTCGATACACAATAATTACGAATACAATATTTATTTAGGTTGCGAGAGCAGGACAAAAGTCTTAAAAGTTTTTTTTGGTATTTCAAATTATGTGATGACTTATATGTTCGACGGACAGTGATTGTGGTTGATTTACATTCATCAGTGTGCTTAGTGCGAGTTTTTTAACGTTCTCGATAGCGTAAAAGTTAAGTGAAATTTGTATAGAGTTGGAACGTTCGCTTACGTTTGCCGTTAGGGACGCTGTTTCAACTTCAAACAAATTTGTTACTTTTACGCTATCCAGAACGTTAAAAAACTCACTTTTTTTCCCTACCTATGCTGATAGCCTTGAGAGGCTATTTCAGCTTCGCCCGAACATCGCACAAGAGCTGTGCTTCGCAGAATCTACCACCGGATCGGAAACGCGACACACTGAGAAGATCCGGCGAGAAACTCAGTGGGTTAATTCGCTCGTCGAGCCCTTCATCGCAAGCGACGGGTTCGACGAGGACGGTGAATAAACTCACATTAAGCACACAGTACCGGCATCGTTTATTCTGTGTATAAATACGTGGGGGAATGCTCCTTAATTACGAATGTTTACGAACGATAAAATGTATTTAACGTGACGAACGCCGATCAAAAGTGTTAAGCACAACGCTTCGGGGAAACACACGGAGCCCTGCGGTTGGTCCGTCACAAACAATCACAACAAACAATAAAGACGCAAGAACAGAGATGACTTTCGAGTCTGGCGTTGAATTATTTATGGCCGCATTGACCGACAGTCAATTAGTTGAGCAGGAGACAAAAAAAAAATATCCAGAACAATGTCATTGAAATCCTCGTCTCCTGTTTGATTCAAGATAATCGTTGTTTAGTTTTTTTTTTTGTTAAATGAACTGAGTCTTACTTTACACAACACTATGACCCGACAAACATTGTCCTGGCCAAATTTTTATTCCCCGAAAATTCGAACTCAAAATCTTCGCAGCCTCTTAAATTTTTCTTTGGGGTTTTTAGGGTGAGCCTTTCATCTCACCTATCGGTCCTAGAGTAGTCAGAATAGCCCCTTACGTTACCAGCGGATAGGTAGGAAACTTTATTTCCGAAGTCATAGCTGGGATTCGAATGGGAATCTCATCGTCTTTGTCATAACGCCGAGTACTCTTCCATTAAAATCTATTCGAAATTAGTTATAGTTTTACTTCATTTAAAATATGTATCAGGAGAATACATAAATTCTTACCTAAATATCTTGCATTCATCTTAATGTTTTATATGACCTGGAAATTAATAAACCTGGAAGTATAATAGCGTATATATTGAACACCCATTTATTGCCTTGTATATTTTAAAAACAGTACTATTGAAGAACTCATGTTTGACATATGCCATTTGACCCAGGCTGCCTCATTCGTATGCACATACTTATCAGTTCGACATCAACGAGTCCAAGACTGAAGTTGTCACACGCCATATTTGTTCGTGTTCAAAGCTCTTTGTCATGTCACTTTAGGTACGTAGGTACATACGTCGACAAGTTACAAAATATGTAGTAGCGGTACTTTATGTCATTCCTTACGATTGTTTATATTCAAATTAAAGTTATAATTAATTTTATATACAAATTTAAAGTATACTTTTTAAAAGTGAGTGATTCATTTGTTTGTGTACTTCCTTCCAAAAACAAAACGATGAGGCGGCTAAAAAGTATGTGTTCCATTCAGTTCGAATATGTTAAAAAAAAAACCCCAAAAGAGACGTTCGTTTTAAAACAAAAAAGATAAGGGCTTAAGTGTTCATTTAAGACGTGTTCTCATTAACGATATCGTCATTGGTTCACATAACTGTAATTTATAATAATGTCGTTCCAAATATCCCGGCGTTCATAAACCCTGTCGTATGGTTCGCGTGAAAGGAGCATCTACAGATACAACGCTCTCAGTAGCAGTTGGCATTTGGCATACATTCCTAACACCCGATATGGCTAGACGGACCTTCGATATTATATTGATCCTACGTGTGACTTCTCTGAACTTGCTCACTTTATAGTTCGTGGTTTTAGATTATAGTTCGATAAACAGGGTTGATAGGTCAATGTGTACTCAGTTCAATTTAATAACTCGTATTACTGACAACGTTAAGTTCATTTTTAAATCAGCAACTACAACAAACAAAACTGACGGTTTTATTGTATCGGTAAAACAATCTTTCTCACAGTAGGCGATGTTGATTAACTGTAGATAGAGTTACAATGTCAAACAAATTTAAGGCATCTAAGAGCCAATGAACATGTTACTTTGACATGTACGGTAGTAAAGATGTTTCTTTCAAAATATCGTAGATATTACATTACTTTGGTTGATGTTCTTACAGACAAAAAATGATTGACAAATATTGATTCAGTTCAGTGAATTTTAGAATACGTCTTATATACCTACCTATCTACTGAGACATTGGTGCCTATTGAATTTTTTACTGTGATATTTTAGCGTAGGAACTTGTAAAACTTTATTTCCTTTATTGCAACGGCATGATGAGGTTCTACTGACCACGGTGGGAAAATTTGAAAGATTAAGATTATTTCTATTATCTCGTGATAAGTACTTACCGAAGCCCATAGGCATCAAAGACTTAAATAAATTGTAACACAGCAATAACAACACAATTGTGCCAAAACAAAGAAAGGTCGTGATTAAGAATTGTCAAGGATTGGTATGGAATCGCCTCTGCCAGCCAGAGCAGCTGTTTTGCTTGTAGAATCAAATGATGTGTATATACCGGACGTTTATACCGGTATACTATACCGGACGTCTATACTGATATACTATACCGGATAGGTACAATTATTCTAAGAAAACATTTACTCAGCCCGTATTAACGAAAGAACATCGAAGAATAAGGATTAAACTCGCAAAAAATATAATTTACTATACTCGCACGGATAGGTACCACCAACATATTTCTGCTGCGGAGAAGGCATGTTTGAAGGGCGGTACAGTTGTTATCTTCTATACTAATATATAAATCTACAGTGGTTTTTACGGATGTTCCGTTATAACTACTGGACAATGCATCCGATTGACTTGAAACTTGGTATCCATGTAGAAAATACATGTACACAATGGATAGGCTAATATTTATATGAGTGTTGGACTCCCTAATAATAATGACAATAAATAATAATGTTAATTTTAAATGCCCAGCGATACGGACGAGTACGGCTAGTATACTATATAACTAAGCTTCGACCTCATGTGTCAAGGTCGGAGACACTATTCCTCGTCATATCTATGTTTTTCGTTAGAATCAGTTGGTATACAAGATCGTTTGCTGAAATAAAACAAAAAAAAATGCATTGCATCGCGGCAGAAATAGACAGGTCGGTGAACCCCAAAGCGGACATACCTATTAACAAATTGTTAAAGAAATTACAAAGATAAAAATACTTATTAGTAAGAAATAGATTATCATAAAAGCGAATGTTACTTACGTTTGTCGTTAGTTGTGTGGTCAGCGTGTGCACTTTATCTTTTGCGTCAGCTAGTTCTCTTCTTAACTTCCGTACCTATAATAACGAAATATGTACAGATACTGGCTTAATCTATAATTATAACTACTTTTATGGGTTTAATCTCGGCTTTTTCTTTTTGCCATTGTATTATTTACAGCATCTCGAATGCTTTACGTGGCTTATGTGGCGCGGACGGATAGGGTATTCGATTCGCTGACATTTTAAAATTGTGTTAGCTAATCAGTTCAAATGTCAGTAGTTCTAATTATTATATCTACAATTGGCGAAAGTCGAACAAAATTGCCTATATTTTTCTGTTTTATAAGTACTAATCTTTGGTTAAAAAAACTATCTTTTTTTTTTCCTACCTATGCTGACAGCCTTGAGAGGCTATTTCAGCTTCACCTTACGTATATAGGGGGCCCAAACTGAAGTGTTGCTAACACTGACCCTAGCAAGAGCAGTGCTTCGCAGAATCTACCACCGGATCGGAAACGCGACCCACTGAGAAGATCCGGCGAGAAACTCAGTGGGCTAAAACTATCAATTGCAATTGCAACTATCTATTGTCAAAAGAAGAAACAGTAGTCACTGCTAACGGCACTTAGCTGTGGATATCCATATGAAGATATAACCCAACGACGGTTGACGTTAGGCATGGGCCGGTCGTAAAAGTCATGCCAAATCCCCTAAAGCCCCTATGCAGCGCGATTAACGAACCATCGCACCGTCCGCCACCGGAGTAGAGTTCATTCATACTACCTGGAGCCACTGCGGTCATCCACAGTGCGTTTCCAGAGGTCTTTTCTGCCACGTACCATCCGGCTATGGAATGAGCTCCCCTCCACGGTGTTTCCCGAGCGCTATGACATGCCCTTCTTCAAACGAGGCTTGTGGAGAGTATTAAGCGGTAGGCAGCGGCTTGGGTCTGCCCCTGGTATTGCTGAAGTCCATGGGCGACAGTAACCACTCACCATCAGGTGGGCCGTATGATCGTCTGCCTACAAGGGCAATAAAAAAAAAACATGCCGCAACGACGCCACAGAATGTAGAATAACGACAATAAGAAGAAGAATTACTTTTCCTTTTCTGATTTTTAGGCAGATACTTGCTTTCTATTTGTTATATAACTCGAACATGGTTTTATTTAAGGGCTTTATTTATATTTTTTTATTTACAATTACATACTGTACATACATACTAACGAGGGTATTTCATTGAAAATTTTTATCCTATAAAATAGAGATTTTTTTTTCATTGATGGGTCGAGCTCACAGCCCACCTGGTGTTAAGTGGTTACCGGAGCCCATAGACATCTACAACGTAAATGCCATCACCCACCTTGAGATATAAGTTCTAAGGTCTCAGTATAGTTACAGCGGCTGCCCCACCCTTCAAACCGAAACGCATTACTGCTTCACGGCAGAAATAGGCGGGGCGGTGGTACCTACCCGTGCGGACTCACAAGCGGTACCACCGGTAAGCTACCACCAGTAAATTATGTAATTAATATAATAATAATTGGGTTGATTACTAACTTTCACATTACGTACCTCGTGTGCGTGCCTCTCATCGGCGCCAGCGCCAGTGGCAAGTGACGAAGCAGTCGAAACTAATGATGCAGTCGAACCATGAACTAAACAAATAAAAACTCATTATTGCGATATTCAAACGTAATCTCACTTGCTTTTCTAATATTCATAAGTTTTTTTTTTTATTGCTTAGATGGGTGGACGAGCTCACAGCCCACCTGATATTAAATGGTTACTGGAGCCCATAGACATCTACAACGTAAATGCGCCACCCACCTTGAGATATAAGTTTTAAGGTCTCAGTATAGTTACAACGGCTGCCCCACCCTTCAAACCGAAACGCATTACTGCTTCACGGCAGAAATAGGCGGGGCGGTGGTACCTACCCGTGCGGACTCATAAGAGGTCCTACCACCAGTAAAGATATACGAGTAGAAAAGCAACTGAGATTACTAATACATATAAAAATAGAAAATAATAAAAATATAATAATAATATGAAAATAGAAAATTATCAATATTCTAATTTTCAAAATTTTTTATGTTCAAGGGCATCCTCCATGTTAATAGTGGATATTAGGTAATATAATTGTTTAATGTTTATTGCATTATTTATAATCAGATAATAATCGAGCTTTGCTCGGTAATTATTTTTTTTTTATAAATTGTGTTTTTTAGAAATTATGTTTAAATACGAATTACATATTGATAAAATGATGAAATATGAATAGTATTTTTCGATTTTACCGGGGTTCGACGAGGACGGTGACCGGTGCTTGTGGTACCTAAAAGCACCGTTAATGGATCGGGAGGATCCGTAATGAATTTCAAGTTTAGGAGTTGATGTAGATATATAGTGCTAAACGTTATGGATTTAATAGTAAAAAAAATCTTAGATACAAAATCGTTTTTTTTTCATTAAAAATGCTTTATTTATATAACATTAAATATACTAAAAAAAACAAATTTGTATTGTTGGTAGATAGTAAAGAAAAGGGTTACGCTATAAACGTAATATAAATTTATAACAATACTACGAGAAAGAATTCCTCTGAGAATCTAGTCATTAGAGATTATATTAGAATTAAGTATTGCCACAACATCCCAATATAATTTTTATTTTTGCCCATTCTATCAAAATCTCTATAAAATAACACGAACGAAAGACGCATCCGGCTTGTCCCCAATAATTGAAACACTATATTAAATTTTATCTTGTTATTACCATTGAATTACGATGCTTAACCATAACCACATACCACATGTTGGCAGTTATAGAGTTGCATCAGAACATCTGCTTCGTGTGTGATAGCTATGATGCGCGACAATTCATTTTATACGACAGTTATTATATGTATTGGATAAATTATATTTTATTCACTCATGCCTCTAAGAATGAGAATATTTACAATTGAGGTACATCACTATGCAGGTGATTCCGAATACTATTTTATTAGAATCTGAATATTGTTTCCGTAAGTCGAAGATTAATCGAAGGATAAATAAATTTGAAATTCATTTAATAATATTTTTGTAATACAACACAATCTAAAATGTGTTTTAGCTTCTATTGTTTATGGGTTACTATCATTTTGCCAGCACCGTTCGATTCGTTGCCAAGTGCAATTACTGTTCACTTCATATATATAAGCTGTGACTTGAATGGCCTCAATTCATATAATCCTATTAAATAAGTAGGCGGATCATTTTTGGATGTATCATAGATGTATCATTTTATAGAACCATTACGAATAACGCTGCCAATATGTATTTTGGGCTCTAAAGGCTCAGGCAGATATGACTTCGCAGTCTAAATTGAGCTAGTCTGCTTGGTAGATTTATTGATACACACCCGGCCGAGCTTACACATACAGCTTTGTGTGAAGTGCATGTAGGTGAGGATTAGTATTCTACCAACCAGTTTATCGTAATTAGGACTCTTTATAGTTTATAGGAATGTGAAAAGATCAAGAGCCATGCGTTCGTGGAAACAAATCTGCACTACTAATGACAGCCTTGTTAATATATACTAAGGATCGCCCAATGATCCAAAAGCGACAATAATTACTAACACTTTTGAGATTTAAATTAATTTTACACGCTATCTACTTATTTTTTATTGGTATTTAGAGAATAAATTTTTTTATTCATAAACACTACAGCTAATCTAAAAAAAAAACGGGCGACAATTAGAAGAGAAGATTGTACCTACATAGAGAGCTGTTTTGACTTTGCCTATTTCATTAATATTATGAAAACGGTGCACTCCAAATCGGCGAAGATAGAAAATTTTATCTTGACAATCAGCATTGAGTAAAATATACATGAAGGAGACATGGTTTGTCGTTTAATACGAAATGTATTATAAGATCTTATTCGATTAAAGTCTGTCTCAGCAACATATCCACGTACGACCGTGGCTTCATCGAGTTAACTACTACATTAGCATAGCAAATATTTATCCTGTTAAAACTTACACCTAATGTTTTGAGATGGGCGGTATGCGGAATTAACTCCATAGTGCAATCAAAATCAGGACTCACCATCATCGTTCTTCTTGGGATAGTGATGCGAGTGCCTCGGCGTATGCAACACGTTAGCAGGCTGATGCGTGGGACTGAGTGCTGATCTTGGAGACGGCGAAGGTGGTTCCGAGACGCCGTAGCTTAGACCTGATCAATTTGTGACGTACGAAATATATTTAATGTTGCTTTTGCGGTTTAATCTCGTAATAAAGAGTAAATGCGGGATTTATTATCGCAAAGATGTGTTAAATTGTCGCGAGAGTCCATAGACACCAACAAGGCAAATACTATCTTTTTACAGTACAACGGCTGCCCCACCTCGAACTGAAACGTATTACTGATTCATGGCAGAGATAGGCAGGGCCGTGGTACCTACCCGTGCGGTCTCACAAGACGTACTTCCATCAATGAAGAGATCAAACCGTAAAAAGTAGTTTTAAATAGTAATTTCTGTTTGCTACTCGTGAAAAACGAAAATTATGGTTTATGTATTTATGTGTGAAACAGAATTATCGAGTACAGTAGCTCTCCTGTTATCCAAAGATTTAAAGTTAAAATGATATTTTAATACGATTCCAAATACCTATAATTTTTTTTTCTTTTTTGTTTTTGTATGACACCTAATTTGTCTTCCTAGGTGTATTTCTGCTAATTATAATAGTTGTTGCGTCATGAATTTATTATATAGAATAAATAATCTAATAAATAAACAACCAAACCATTTTATTGCCGAATGATTAAAAGGCCCCGTACGTCATCTTAATAAAAAAAAGCTAATTTATAAAATTTAAAAGAGAATTCGGGTCATTTTCAGCTGAATGCCACCTTCAGTCTCTTCCAGTGCTTTCAATCCTTTAACTGGGTTTTCCAGTGCCTAATTTATGTCTGTTTTCACAATTTTATCCATACATTAATTAAGTGCTTGGCTATGGTTCAACGTTTCGAAGTAAATATTGGAAAATTAGCTCAGCTTGAACGCTAGATGTCACTATAAGCGTTTCACATTCAGTTTCAACTCTTACGTATAGATGGCACTGTCGGAATATCTAGTATCGCACGTGTGCATTTTGAATTCTCCTACATTATGTGGTGTGATGAACAACATTAAAATGACGTGCAATTTATTCTAAATCTTTTTAAAGGCACTCAATCTCTTTCCGTGAGCTTCGTGAATGGCATATATAATACAGAGATTTGCTATAATATACCTAATAGCAGCAGTGTTCTCAGAGTACTATATAATATATTCCGATTGCACTGGGAATAATTGAGACAGTGTGAGCCCGCACGAGTACTACAATCACACGCTTAGTTCCAGAAGAATGAAGAACTTATCTATCCATATTATAATAGTAAAAACAATAATTTACCTTGTCCAGACGGTCCATATTGCACCGGCAAACAATAATACGGTTCATAATCACTTTCCGATGATCTTTGAAGCATCGATGGATACAATTTCTCAGATTTCGTTGACCTGCAATTCGCTTACAATTACTTTCCAAATTTAAACAATATTACTGTTGATTTCATTAAAAAATCGATTTTGAGTAAACATTACAGATTCAACTCAAATTTACGAATGATACTTAAAATGTGGATTAATGCAAGATTGGATTTTTTTTTCGAATTTGTTAAGTGCAGTTTATTAACTTTAATGATTTCAAAATTAACGTAAGAATGATTTTATGATTCCGAGTATCCAGTTTTATTATGAAAGTATTACATTTTATTTACGTAAGCAAAGCATATCATCGTTTCAAATTAACTAATGGTAATATGGGTGGAAAACGACTGTGTATCCTTTTTCAGTTTTGGATCTCAAACACGGACGATACATTTCAACGATCTCTATAGCCTTGTTCGGACTAGGCGAGTATTTTAGTCGAGTACCGAGTAATTTAGTGGCTAAACTACTCGCTACTCGCCCGAAAAAATAGAACAAAATGGATTGACTTGACTAAATTATTTACTAACCTTCTCGACTAAATTTTTGGTGCTCAGACACATTTAGCTACGAAATTACTCGGTACTCGACTAAAATACTCGCCTAGTCCGAACAAGGCTTAAGAGCATTCAAAATGGATAACTACATTATATGTTGATTTTCAAGATTATTCGTATGTGATTCAAATGAAGTTTAGCTGCTGACATGAAGCCGTGCCGCATGGAACCATGCAATATATTATTATGCTTGTTGAAGCGTGCCACTTCAAAGCAAAAACACCGACAAACGAGCGTCTGGTGGCATACCTTGGAAACGTCCTATCTCTCAGATAGCTAAAAATTTTACGAAAATATATAATAAAACCCAATTTCATACATTTTACATAATACTTGTATACATTTAGATAGAACAACAAACGTATGAATAAATCTGAAAACATATATAATATTATTGACATCCAATTAATAAGCGACACAGGGAATCACACAAATAAAATGTTATATGCAATGTATGAATTGTTGATGACATATTGTGAGTACGGTGAGCTCAATTTAGTTGCAAATAGGATTATCCCTATATTGATAAATTTCCATAATTCCACCAATTATCTGCTTACAACAGAAAACCAGTTTAGCGTTCTTTTTACAAATTAATACGAGGTTTTCCTTCGATAATGATCTGGCACTAATCAATTAACATAACGTCACTTAATTGCGAGTACATTAATATTTTTTTAACGAATTACCTTAAATATACAATGCCACTCTATTACCACTCTACTTTAAATTCCATTAATTTAAATATCACTGAACCAGTGCAACTTTGGAATGTCACACAACATCAATTTTGACCAACACCAAAAAAACGTAGCATATCAAAACAGAAAACCGAAAATCCACCCGTGAGAATACCATAAAGTCCCATCAACTATCTACAACCCACCTAATACTGTTGCTCCTGTTTAGCCTGGAGCCCTGTGCGTCACGATGCATGATGAGCTTATTGTGTGTGAGTGAGCTGCGGTGGTGTGAGTTAGGGGAGGATGTGTGGTTGTGTTGCGCCGAGTGCAGCGACGTGAGCGACTCCATCGACTCTCCCTCGGACAGGCGACCGCTCGCCGAATACGTGTTGCTGAAACCGGGGACATTCGTCCAATGTATACACGTAGTATCGATATTAGAACACGCGTGTCTATTTCAAATGTACCCTTTTTTTATTGCTTAGATGGGTGACGAGCTCACAGCCCACCTGTTGGTGTGAAGTGCTTACTGGAGCCTATAGACATCTACAACGTAATTGCGCCACCCAACCTGAGATACAAGTTCTAAGGTCTCAGTATAGCTACAACGGCTGCCCCACCCTTCAAACCGAAACGCATTACTGCTTCACGGCAGAAATAGGCGGGGTGGTGGTACCTACCCGTGCGGACTCACAAGAGGTCCTACCACCAGTAATTACGCAAATTATAATTTAGCGGGTGACTTTGTTTTTGAGAATTGTTAGATTCAGCCATATTAAATTCCAGTCCAGATTTGATTACCGGTTTAAAGTAATCAATAAAATATAATCGTATCTGCGTTATTATATTGGTGTATTTCATTCATGGATATTTTTTTCTATACAAAGGTTTGAATTACAAAAAAAAGTGACACGCATTGTTCATAATTAAGCCATTCTACCTGTATACATTATATACGAATATATGGTGTACTCGTCAGTTGTTCGGATATTTAAATTATGGATCGACTAACCAAAATCTATAATAATATTATGTAATAATCATACAGTTTTGTTAGTGACTGAAGCACTTACAACTGAACAATATTACAATGCAAGTAATAATTTAAAGAAGTTTGTTACGTGAATCTATGTTAATGAGAATTAATGATATACAACGCAAACTATACATTATGACAATGATAACGATACAAGGAAGGGAGTGGCACATACAAAATACAAGACACGTTATGGTATCACACCAGCTAAAACCTTAACTCATTTACGATAGACAAATATTAGCAAATTGTGTACCTGTGTCTCAGCCACGGTGCGTATGGTATCCCATAATCTGATTTAACTTCGGAGTAGGTTTGAGTGTCCGAAAGGCTTCCATCACTAATCTTCATCCCGCCTCTCGGAGGAATCCTAACGAACAAATTATCCGATAATTTATATGTTAACAACAAATGTCAATGTTGCAATATTTAACAAAAAAATACATTTCATACTATTGAAAACCAACTATAATATTAATGTAAAAATTACAGGAACTAAAAAATTTTATATTGCTTATTGCAACCTTTCTATTAATTTTGACAACACGATAGTCGAATGCCATAAGATAGTTCAATCACTCTTACAATCTGAACACTGCACTGAGGTATAAAGTATATTAAGCCACTAAACGCTTATTTTACACGGACTTGAATTTTCCCACGTAACGGCTATCGTAAGTTTAACATCTGTAACGATAACAATATTTGCTTACTTGTTACGACGCATGTTAAAGAATTCACAGCCAAATAAACTGTTTACATAATATAATGTACTGGAGATCTTGAAACAATTCGATGATGTCAGTAAATTATTAATTGCTAAGGCGCTGGCACTACACAGAAGACTTGATTAAAATGATGTTTGCACGACGTTTTGTTTTTGTTTCATTCACTAATTTAAACGATTCTATAAACTTTATATGTTCGTCTGTGCATTGTCATGTTCTTTATGCTAATTTACGGTGCGCGGCAATTGTTAACTATTAATAAATTTTAGCACTAAAAGTAAGAAATACAGTATGTATTGGAAACCTCGGAAATAATATATAGGTATTTAAAAAAAAAGGTTGTAAGCCGTAATAACGATTTAAATATGATTACAGCTCGCCAAAACCGAAGAAGTTTCGGTTAGGAATATTGTTTAATTATTAATATAAATAATATGTAGTAGAAATAAATAAAATAATGAAGGATATATCAGGCAAGATTAAATGTACTTATTTATTGTAGTGTATTAAGCTTCTGCGTGGTCTCGTTTCGAATGAACAAGTCTGAAGCTTAATTATGTAATTGTTTCAGCCAATTAGTCAATAAAACTAACGCCAGAGCTACGTCTGGAAAATGTTTATTGTGTCTTATTTTAAAACTTAGTTGTCTTAAAATTTCATTGAGTCTATTTATTTAACAGCGATAAATTGCATATTGTTTTATTTACACTTGTTATAGTTTGGGTTAGTAAATGTTATACTCATGATCGTCATATTATTTCAAAATATAGCGCAATATATTATGACTGCTTTTATTTTGTTATACACACAAAACGTGTATGTAATTCTCATTAAGTTAAATTTAAGATAATACAGTCAACTGACAGAGCCAAAAAGTCCATCATTCCGCTAAGAATGTACTTGTTTTTGTGATGTTAGTTTTGACACAATAAAAGGTTCAAGATAAAATTTTGCCGAAGCTGTCACTTTTTGTTCGAGTGTTTTTTTTCAACAAATCAGCGGGCGGAACCTCTCTTTTCCGAGTTTTATTCAAACGTTTTCTAAATTAACAGTCAAGAGATGGCGCTAGCTGTCCTTTTGTGTTCAATTCGCCACCAATAGATAGCGTTACCTGCATTTCGTTTTATGCTACGTCAAGTCGGTTATTTTTTTGTGACAATACTTTTAAGTCTCAATCGATCAGTAAGCTTTTTTGGATAATATAAAGTTACTATAGTGCAGTTCTTGTAAATTACTACGATGTTATTACTACGTGACTCAAACACAAAAAAGTTAAAATTATGAATTCGTTTGTTACTGATATTTCGATATCACTTACCTATGATGGTGGAATAGAGCGGCGAATTCGTGTGTTCCAGGTTTCGGTAGACTCTGCGAGCCGAGCAACCGTTCTCGTACTGATGCCGAGAGTTGCGCAGCCGCAGTCCCGCCCAAAGAGTAAGACTTGGGACCGATACCATTTTCTGTAAATAACATCGGTACTTTATAGTAATATCGTCATTACGGAACCTCCCGATCCATTAACGGTGCTTTTAGGTACTACAAGCACCAGTCGCCGCCCTCGTCGAACCCGTCACTTGCGACGAAGGGCTCGACGAGCGAATTAACCTACAGACACAGCCCACTGAGTTTCTCGCCGAGTCTTCTCAGTGGGTCGCGTTTCCGATCCGGTGGTAGATTCTGCGAAGCACTGCTCTTGCTAGGGCCAGTGTTAGCAAAACTCCGGTTTGAGCCCCGTGAGCTCACCTACATGTTAGGGTGAAGCTGAAAGAGCTTCTCAAGGCTATCGGCAGAGGTAGGAGGGAAAAAAAAGAAAAAAGTGTTGTAATCTATACTAATATATAAATCTACAGTACTTTTTACGGATGTTCCGTTATAACTACTGAACCATGCATCCGATTGACTTGAATCTTGGTATCCATGTAGAAAATATATGTACTTAATGGATAGGCTAATATTTATATGAGTGTTGGACTACCTACACCAGTTGCGGGGGCGTTAATGATGAGAATCTTCGTGGGGGTGAGAAATAATAATGTTAATTTTAAATGTCCAGTGAAGCGGACGGGTACAGCGAGTTTGTTTATAAAACTCCAATACTAAACCACCAGCTGACAGACATATTATTGAGAACATTTTCTTGGTATTATTTAAAAACGAATTATTTTCAAAGTCAAAACCCTTACAACTTCAAACTGTACAATCACGTTATTAAATATATGGAAAGCACTTACTATGAATTTGTAAGTCTTGCGTGCATGTCTGTGTTCCTCCCGATACCTTGACTTTTGTTCTAGGAACCGCGGAAACTTGAGCCGTACGACCACCTAAATGAAAAAAATAAAAACGATAAATCATTTGAAGTTAATAATAAAAAATAGGCTATATGTAACTACTTTTTTTACAATCAAAATGATGGTATTAATTATTCATTTCATTAAACCGATCTACCGATCTACGTTGTTCTATTTTAATTGAACAAATGCCATACTGTAGATATACAACGTGTTACAAAATACCTCGTAGAGTATATAATTAATTATCAAAGCCAAAAATTTTTTCAACCCCAGTAAGCTATCATGTCAGGGAACCAGATTATTGAACAGAAAGGCCTACGTACCTATTTTACCTAATAATAATTGTTTACTTTAAAATATTTTGTATCTCAGGAATGTGGACAAGATAGGATCATAATAACAAATAACATTATTATTTTTGCAACGTTTCGGTCTTTTATTAGACCTTCATCAGGCATCATAATATGAATTCCATCCAATTGATAAATTAGTTGATTATTATTTTTGATTTTAGAAATAAAGTAAACACGACACATAAAAATTGTTATTGCGTGACACCGGTTAGCCTACTATCTTAGTATAGGAATTAACTAATTTATCAATTTTGTTAATCTGTATTAATTTATGATGACTAAGGCAGCTGTGCAGTGTAGGATAGTGATTGTTGGAATTCATATTATGATGCCTGATGAAGGTCTAATAAAAGACCGAAACGTTGCAAAAATAATAATGTAATTTGTTATTATGATCCTGTCTTTTCCACATTCCTGAGATACAAAATATTTTATTAATAATTATGGACGATAATATTGATAATAATTGTTTACTTTAATAGTTTTATTTTTCATTCATAAATGTTTGATACCTCAATACAAGGATGTTATTATACTCAAGTACTGGTTTAAAACATATTTTTTTTATTGCCTAGATGTGTAGGTGTGTAAATGTGTAAGTTGGAAAAAAAATATGTTATCCATTACAAATCTTCTAATCGATATCCTAAGCTGTTTCGAGTAGAAATGTAAGTACATTCTGCATAGTTTACTCTTTAATTTTACTGAAATAGGGTTGTGGCACATCAGTGAAAATAATATTATTTTTTTATTTTTTTGAGGTGTGTTGTTACTACTGTTTAAATTAAATATTGTGAATGAATTCGTTTAACCTCCTTTCGGCTTTACGGGTGTTTTGTAACACCCTGTAGTATATCATTTCAATCGATCAGCAATACTGGTGGTAGGACCTCTTGTGAGTCCGCACGGGTAGGTACCACCACCCTACCAATTTCTGCCGTGAAGCAGTAATGTGTTCCGGGTTGAAGGGTGGGGCAGCCGTTGTAACTATACTTGAGACCTTAGAACTTATATCTCAAGGTGGGTGGCGCATTTGGCGTAACCACTTAACACCAGGTGGGCTGTGAGCTCGTCCACCCATCTAATCAATAACAAGAAAAAATATATTAGCCAAAAATATGATTAGAATAAAGCGCTCACTATGTCCGTGTTGGGGTGGTGGGCCGTTGGGTTGCGGTGTGGTCTGCTGCTGGACTCCATTCTGCCTCTTCACGTATCCAAAGCTCTGAGGAGTCTTCCCTTTGCCCGACGAACAGCTGCCGTTCCCTGCCGCACTGGACGGTCTGGACCCTCCGCTCGGCGAATGGAGCTAAAATTTTTTGGTAGGCGGGTAGCAAAATCGGTAAAGATATATTTTACTAAATTTTTTTTGTATCGCACACTACAGCTACCCTGTCTAGTCCTACCTGCGAGCCGGCTCTCGATGAATGTTGACTAGAAGGACTCGAAGACGAGGCGGCGTACTGAAACATAAAAAAAAAAAAAGATTTATAATCAATACAATAACATTAATGGTAAATTAAATATAATTTAAAAAAATATGTATGGAAAAATGCCGTGGAGAAATTCTGCTCTTATTATTATTATTATTTTTATTGCCCTTGTAGTCAAACGAGCATACGGCCCGCCTGATGGTGAGCGGTTACCGTCGCCCATGGATTTCAGCAATGCCAGGGGCAGAAGCAAGCCGCTGCCTACCGCTTAATACTCTCCACAAGCCTCGTTTAAAGAAGGATATGTCATAGTGCTCGAGAAACACCGTGGAGGGGAGCTCATTCCATATTATTATTATCCATTATCCACTCGGCCTATTTCTGATGCGAAGTACTAATGCGTTTCGATTTGAGCAGTCGGACAGCTATAATCTAGCTTATGTCTCAAGAATAGGTACCACATAACGCGAGGTTGTAAAGTCATCGCATCTACAGAAATTTAAAAGTTCTTAAAACTGTAAAAACAAACCTGCGGGTGAGGCGCAATGCCAAGTTGTTGGGCTGCTGTTAGCTTTTCTCTTTTGTGGTGTTGAGGCGAGTGGTGACCGGTACGCCTCTCACCTTTACGCCCATGAGATGGACTCGGAGGAGTCGGTGGTTGATTCTATGAATTACGAAATATAATATAATATAACATATACAATAAAATAATAATGGTGGTAGGACGTCTTCTGAGTCCGCACGGGTAGATACCACCACCACCCTGCCTATTTCTGCCGTGAAGCAGTAATGCGTTTCGGCTAATAAATAAAATATATATACATGATAATAATAATAATATATAATTATAGGCATTAAATGTAATAAAACAATTTTAAATCTAAAGAGTAGAAATCAGAAACAATAGAATCATCGTTATCGATCCAGTGAGTTATTAGAAAACAATCTTAGAAGACGAACCATGAATTTGTAACTCACTCTTTACACTTTATATTGTATTTACAAACAGATTATTCAATTACGAAAAAACGTCAAAAAAGCACGAGCATAGCAAATAAGATAAGTTTTACCTTTAAGATATTCATAGCTAATTTCATCATTATCATAGTTTTTAGTAGAAGTATTAGTACTAGTAGTAGTAGTAACAGTATCATTCATTCCCGGTACTGGACGATATCCACTAAAATAAAATAAAAAGTAATTGTTGACCACGTACCAATTGCGGAGCTCCAACGCCAGGCGAGTCAGTGTATTTCTTCCACGTAGTGTCTTGCCGTGGTACAGAAGGCTGACGCTCCGTTTGCTGACCACAGTCGGCCTTGCTTCGCGTACGACCCACCACTCTGTACACCACGCCACTTCCACTCTCCATGCCTCTATTGCGACCACCGCTTCGCCTGAGAACGTGAACAGCATATTCATTAATTGTCTTTTTTTTCCTACCTATGCTGATGATAGCCTTGAGAGGCTATTTCAGCTTCGCCCTAACATGTAGGTGAGCTCACGGGGCTTAAACCAAAGTGTTGTTAACACTGGTCCTAGCAAGAGCAGTGCTTCGCAGAATCTACTACCAGATCGGAAACGCGACCCACTGAGAAGATCCGGCGAGAAACTCAGTGGGCTATGTCTGTGGGTTAGTTCGCTCCTCGAGCCCTTCGTCACAAGCGACAGGTTCGACGAGGACGGTGACCGGTGCTTGTGGTACCTAAAAGCATCGTTAATGGATCGGGAGGATCCGTAATGACATGAAACTGCCTACATGTAGTTTGTAGTTTGAAAACCGGAAATATTTCTTTATACTATATAATAATATATTAAATGTTATTTTTTTATACTGTTATTTACGGAGTTCAATTAAGAGATTGCGAAATGAAAATATCAACAATAAATACCTTGTTTGTGACAAATAACGAATTTAAAAAGTAAAATTAGGGTCTTTCCAACCCCTCATCGGACTTAGTCATGCGTTAACAAGCAGCAAAAGTTTCTTTTGAAAAACAATAGTTCAAATACATAAATGACATAAACTCCTTCACTAAGACGTATATTGAAAAATATTGAGAAGAAAACATTTTTTAATTGTACAAAGTCAATACATGACATAAATAATATTAAAATATGGTATTAGTTAAAACATGTGGCGGGTCATTGACATTAGCTACTTAGCTGAAGCTTGAAGAATGCTAAGTAATTGCTATTTTTACTCGGCCGTAAGCTGTTTCTATTTTTCTGCACATACCGTAAACACTCTGAACGCTTTATTTGTTTGTATTAGACTCACAGTACATTTTACGCCCATATTTTGTAAATATTTATTTATGAAGCGATTTCTAAATATTATTCTGGACAGTTTGTGATTGTGATGAGCTGCTTTGTTAAGTTCAAAGATTTTTTTAGGACATCTGTTTGAATCTTCTGGTGTTAAGTGATTACCGGAGCCCATAGACATCTATAACGTAAATGCCACCACCCACCTTGAGATATGAGTTCTAAGGTCTCAGTAGAGTTACAACAGCTGCCCCACCCTTCAGACCGATACGCATTACTGCTTCACGGCAGAAATAGGCATGGTGGTGGTACCTACCCGTGCGGACTCACAAGAGGTCCTACCACCAGTAAATATGGGCATATTCGATTTATTTAGACTGTCTGTAAAATACGTACGTGTTCTTTTGGGCTTTCCGTGCTCACATTATCGTAGGTACATGTAAATTCTGAATCGTCAGTTACCCTCGCCTTATTTTGTACACGCCATCAAATTGATAAGTCAACAGAAGTATGTATGTCAGTATCGCACGTGCACCATAAATTCAAAATGTCATGATAAATGAGTAGAACCCTCAGACATAGCCCACTGAGTTTCTCGCCGGATCTTCTCATCATCATCATCATCAACAGCCCACAGTCGTCCACTGCTGGACATAGGCCTCTCCCAATCCACACCACTGAGCCCGGTCTGCGGCTCTCCTCATCCACTTCTTGCAGGCCACCGTGCGGAGGTCATCGCACCACCTAGCCAAGAGGCGTCCCACGTTACGTCTTCCGCTGCGCGGTCTCCACTCGAGAACCCGTCTGCTCCAGCGATCGTCAGTCCTACGGCATATATGGCCAGCCCACTGCCACTTCAGCTTGCTGACTCTTTGAGCTATGTCGATGACTTTAGTTCTCTGTCGAATAATCTCATTCCGGATTTTATCCTTCAGAGAAACTTCTTCTCAATGGGTCGCGTTTTGGAGCCGGCGGTAGATTTTGCGAAGCACTGCTCTTGCTAGGGCTAGTGTTAGCAAATTATCTCAGCTTGAGCCTCGTGAGTTCACCGACCCGTCCGGGCGTAGCTGGCATAAGCCCTCGAGGTTACCAGCATACGTAAAAAAATGTGAGTAGTTATCATTTATAGTGCTTGCCAGATAGAAAATAACTTCAGGTTATCTCTAGAGATTATATATGAACGTGAACAAGTATGCTTTGTGTACGACATCATAAGAGGTTGGATATAGGATGTTGTAGGTTCTGTCTGAACAAAAGCATTGAATTGATGACCGTCACGCATGCTTCAATGTTAGGACGACACAACCCCACAATATTACGATCTAGATCACCAAAGTCATCACACGCAAAAGTCTAATCGACTAGTCGACCTTTTAGGCTTCAAGCGTTTACTAGCTTTATTGTGAATTTTACTTATAAATAAATGTATTAAATATTAATTCAAAATTTAAAAACATTTCTTAGCTATTTCGTAGTATTAATCTAATGCATTGCTGATATGCTGATAATATTAACATGATAAGTAACGCCTGCGGTTAATTAAATTCTTATTGCAATCAGTTGAACTCAATGAAGCTACTGTATTGAAAGCGGCTTTATTTATTTTTAGCATTCAAAGAGGTTGTATGTAGTCGATATTCGTTACGGGCTAATAAACTGTTATAAAATACACAGAATCCATGTATAAGTATAAAAAAACAACCTTTGACATTATTGCGCTTATAATAATGCATGGATTGGGTATATTATATATCGAAATAAAGCCGTATTTACGAATAAAATATTTAAAATTAGATTTGTTATGCTAAAACTGGTGGTTTAATATTTTAATGTAAACTATCCAAGCCCAGCCCACTTTAGTAGCCGATCTTTGATTTGACTTTATTCCGATCGATGATCTTCCGCTAGGCTACACTAAAGATTTTTTGAAAATTTAATTGAAATTGATCCAGTTCAAAAGATTTTTTTCTATCTATTCGCTGGTAGCCTAAGAGACTACTGCAGCTACACCTAAACGGGTAGGTGAGCTCACGGGCTCAGCCTGATAGAATTTGATAACACCCTAGCAAGAGCAGTGCTTCGCAGAATCTACCAGCGGATTGGAATCGCGACCCACTGAGAAAATCGAGCTTGAAACTCAGTGGGCGCAAACACACTCTTTGTATTTATTTGTATACTCATGTATTTATAGATAAATATGGAGTTGGTTGTAATAATTTATATTTTATACAAAAATTGGTATATTATAACAAAATTTAGTATTATAATCAACATAACACAAAGAATTCTCATTTGAATCCCGCTCAACTGTTCAAAACGACGAAATCAATACTAAGTTATTAAATTGTAAAATTATTTGTGCACTCATCATTTTAAACCGTCTTATATAAATTAATTATAAACTTTAACCGTTAATATTCAGCTTACCATTCCTAAATCCTAAAACGTGAAGAAACAGAACAACAAAAACAGTTACCTACTTTACGAGGAAAAAAGCATTAAAACTTTTAGCTTACAATTTCCCAGTTCCGTTTTTACTTCGCTCCCTAAATTGCGTTCTCGCTAGAAACGTTTCTTCAGTGCGGATGTAAATGAAAGGGTCTCTGAAATTGTGCAACTTGTGGACGGGTTAGGTAAACTTGCAATTCAGTTCAGATGCACTAGAAGCTCTGTGTTTATAAATACGGGGGATTCCATTTCTAAAGCCACACACCAAGGTTTTTATGGGTCACAATCGTAAAATATACACAAGCTATCAATGAATAGTCCCTTTGTCTTGGACGATTTTATTTATTAGAGTTTTTTAAAGTGGAGGTTGCAATAATTTATTAGGTAACGCAATATTTTAGGCCAATATTGGAAATGTAATTTTTAGAAGTGAAAATTTATTTATCAAAGTTACAAAATTTATACTGTAATTTAAAATCTAAGCCAAACTGAAAGGTGACAAATAGATCTACATCTATAGGATTAGTTTACGAGAGAATGAAACATTTCTGATAATACTTCAAAAGGTTTCACTAATATACTCGTCTATTCCCAAAAGGTTTCACTAACATATATTTCGCGTGCTCACATTTTTTTTACTTGTTCTGCATTTGGGGGTCGCTTGCGAGGAGTGGAAACATTGTAGAATTGTGGAGAGTTATTGGTGGTTACTGTGATACTTTAGACAATGTTTCAGAAATAGCACGATTGAATGAAGCACGCGAGTCATAAAAAAATGCTTGTAGAGTGTCGCAACGAATACATACTGTGGATGACGAAACATCATTTGCTCAATGCGTAAGAAATTTAATTGTGATAATTTTGTTTACTGGAATGAAACCGCGAAAGTAAAGCTAGATTGTGTTCGCTAAGTACCGTGCTGTATTCTCAAGGCCGACGATGAATAACGAGGTAACTTTTCAAGCTGTTCGCTGGGCTTGTGACTTGGCATTACGCCGCAAAGTACCTTTCATTTACTTTACGGAATGGCTATTTGCCAGGTTTTATATATCGTAGAATGACTGCAGCGTTAATGGTGCAGAGGAAAACTGTTCAATTTTGCTTTTCGAAGAGGCTAAATCGTTTGGTATAATTAATAATTAAATTTGTAAAAACTGAGACAGAGACTTCGTGTCTTAAGATGGGTGTCGGCATTGACGTGGTTATTGTCTGTGGGCTCCAGTGTCCATTTAACTCCAGGTGAATATTTCTGTCGTGAAGCAGTAATGCGTATCGGCTTGAAGGGTGGGGCAGCCGCTGTAACTATACTGAGATCTTAGAACTCATATCTCAAGGTGGGTGGCGCATTTACGTTGTGAATGTCTATGGGTTCCAGTGATCACTTAACATTAGGTGGGCTGTGAGCTCGTCCACAAATATAAGTATTAAAAAAAGAATGGTGGGCTGTGAGTCAACCAATTTTAGAATATAAAAAAGCACCTGTACCACTATATAGTCGCCGTCGCTTTTGGGCTTCACTAATGCTAGGATTCAGTGGCCTAAAGCATCTGCATAGCGCTATTCGGTCAAAACGAAAACTAAACAAAACTGTACAACAAAACAAATTACGAGATGGATAAATATTGCATCGACCCCCCACCTAGCAGGACAGCGGGTTAGATGAACGTTTAACGAATAACATTAATTGTTTTACGTAGCAATGATACTGTTTCACAATTAAAAACATTGGTACCAGGAACGCTTCACAATTTTTTTTGCTTGTATCATTTTATATCCAAACTTTGTAATATGGTATGTAATTAAGTTTATTCTATTATTATTGTAAGTTATTGTAACAGTTTACACACATTTAAGGGTATAACAAATAGCTTACGATATGGGGTTCTACGAGTATGTCTTATTTATTTTCAAGCATTTATTTTTCAAAGCTTTTGTTTCAAGCTTACAATTATTATTTGTCTTCGGAATTCGTTTGTTTTATAACGGCCATTTTACTTTGCAAAATGGAATGCGTATTAGCATCATGGCGCGTAGGATAACAGCTCTTACCCGAACGGTCTGGCATTACCTAAATCTGAAAATCTGAAGATCAATTTTATTAAAATCCGATAATAAACGTAATTGCTTGCGAGCCAGTAAGATGCGTAATTGTTCAGAATAAAATATTACCCGTCAGGATACAGAACCACAACTGTCATTATTTGAATCGGTCATCTATTAGCCATGGTATATTCAATCCTTCAGCAAATCAAGTAAATTCAATTCTTAATGCATTCTCGAATGATTCTAATCCATTCTATAAAAAACAGCCAGACTTAATTTGGAGATAAAAATTACATACACTTTATTCAACTTCAATTATATGTTACTATCACGCAATTTTAAGATAATGCGAATCCCAATGACTATAAGAGAGAATATTTTCCTAGATAGGCGCAGAAAGCACATAAAGTTAAAATTCCAACCATGGTACTTGGCCCCTTGAGAAACATTACAGTCTTACATTTTACCCTCGGCAGGTGTAATTTCAGAGACACAATAAGGTACTCCGAGGTGTATTAATCTGCATTCCTATCGTTGCCCCCCTGCAGCCATTTGGTGTCTAAATGAAAACTGACGCCCGAAGTCGCGCACTAATGATGACGGATGTCCTGAAAGAAACGTCTCCCATCTCGCCTGTACCTCATTATCTACGACGTTCATAAGACGAACTGAGCAGTTAGTTCTGTTTTGTTGCTTTTTAAACCATGAATGCATGCTTTGTTATTAGATTGTTTCCATTAAAATGCGACAATATTTAATTTGACTGTGCAATGATTATCCAAATAGTTTCATTTCAAGTTTTCAGTCTACTTTTTAACTTTGACGATTAGTTATTTCTTGTGAACTTTTTTTCAATTTATCTTCCCACTAACCATTGAGTAGGGTGAAGATTCTTAGATGCTTGATTGATTGGGCCCTGTCGAAATTTCACTAGGAGCTATCCATGAATATAACATTTTACTCTCTTCGAGCCGAATAAAGTTTTACCGAAGCTGTTACATTATTTTCGTTGGTTTTTAGAGGGATCATTTTTATTTTCATTTCCGGGAAATCGTTTTTTTTTTCAATAGAAAGCATACATTCATTATGCTTCATTAAAATCTCTTAATATTTGGAAAATTAGAGAAACGACGGACTTTACTCATTAAAATTTCATTTACCAAACAGGCGGGATGCGCACATTCTCCTGGCAATATCCACACATGGGAATAAAAGTTACAAATTCAGCCGGCATTACTTTTGTGGAACAATGGAATAGTTTTTATTTGGTTTGCAGGAGTACAACGGGAATATGAAACAAAAGCTCATTATTATTAGTTTTTGTAGCCCTTCGAATTATTATTTTTAATAACTTTTGTTTAGTTTTAGTTTCTGTCGTGAACTAACTGTAGTTCATTACGTTTTGAACGGAAAAATTGGATTAGTCGGAATATTTTTCCGTTTAACTTGCCTAAGAAATAAAAGTCTATAAATTAAATAACATTGTGACTTCATTATGAACAACGCTACATTAAACTGCACAACGCAGCGAACCTATTAATATGTAATGTAAATTTTAACCCAGATCTCCATTCAACAGCGTCTTCAATCAATGCAAGCAATAAGCAATCAAATTGTATTGATCGAAAACGTATACAAATTGGCCACTCAAATGTATAAAGAGTACGATGAATCATGTACAAGGCAACCCTCGAGCCGGCGCCATCGATTGCATGTACATTTTTATTAGCACCTAAACAACTAAACATAGGGATGTGAATTATACAAACAAAAATAATTTGCCGATATAGTTGTTTTTTTTTCTTGTTCTTAACTCAATAAATTTTAAGTTCCTTAATAATTAATTGATGGCATGTTCATTTTTATTAGCACCTAAACAACTAAACATAGGGATGTGAATTATACAAACAAAAACAATTTGCCGATATAGTTGTTTTTTTTTCTTGTTCTTAACTCAATAAATTTTAAGTTCCTTAATAATTAATTAATTGCATGTTCATTTCTATTAGCACCTAAACAATTAAACATACGGTTGTGAATTTTATACAAACAAAAACAATTTGCCCGAAATAGTTTTTTTTTTTCGATAAAATTTTAAGTTTCCTTAATAATTAATTGATTGCTTTAATCAGTAATATAGTTATAATTAAACATTTTATTTAAATTACTCACGTTACTGCAGATAATATGTTTTCTCAATTTTAATTAGACACCAAATTATGAAAATGAACGAACTCCGCGGACTTCTGCTTGCATATGTAAGCCCGAAGCAATTGATTATTTTAAAAATTAGATGCCCAGAATAATATTTAGAGTTTAACATGACATTCTTCTTTAGAATGTCTAAAAGAGCGATGTTCGAGTACAATACGATGATATTTGCACGGAATGGTAACCACATGTCTTTAAGTAACAAACGTTGATGTGCTGACAGCCAGATGTTGGCAAGGTTATTGCCTCCTGGACAATCAGAGACAATCTCATAACATTCGGTTTAATTGGAGGCGATAATTAAAAAAATATATGTCGTCTTACCAACTTCATCCTCGCCATCTCCGTCAGTGCAAGATTTTTTTTAACTCGAGTTTACCTTCTTCTAAGTTTATTAAATATAAAGCACCGTAAGCTTACAATGTTCTACGCGAGAAGCAAAGACACATAGCAAGGCAACACTATTCCATAGATTCATTACATTACAGTTCGCGTAATTATTTTCAGCTTTTGAAAATTGTGCAAATTAATTTCAATCCGCGGAATGTGTATTCCCGCTCACCCCGTAATCAAGCGACAGAAGGCACAACACACATGGTCCACTACATCGCCTAATATACACATAATAACTAACACCGGTTATATTTAATTGAAGCTCAATACGAGCGCGTTCGTTTACGAAATCCTTTGTTAGAGTCTGTCCACATCCACAGAGCCAGCTGTGATCGGCGTGCTCGGTTCAAGGAGCGCGTCTGCTCTCGAAACGATCGATGCCGGCAACAGATTTACATTTTCCGTCGAGGAAATCGGAAAGTTTGTCACGTGCGTTTGCGAGCGCGGGCGGCGAAGACGACGCGCCCGCACGCCGTCAGAGCGCGGCGCCTAATGCCGCCCGCCCTGCCTTGCCGCGGCCTCGCGAAACCCGCACCCACCGAGCCTATACCGCCTTTGCCTACACAAACTTAATTCAGACAATACGCTCTCTTATTTTCTAAATTATTATATCGCTACGAAATTTAAATAAGCAAAATCTAGCGAGGCAGCCTTTTTACTTTAAGCATCTAATCGAACGAACGCGATCGATTGTCAATATTTATAGAAAAACAACCGAAGTACGTTATTGTAATTGTTGTGATAAAATACCAAAAGTCATATTTTCTGCACACAGTATCGACCTTTATACAAATATGTTTAAGGTTCTGATTGGAACGACTATGTTAGGGGTGGTTAGGGTTGTGAAGGCAGGCCAACGGGGTGCGCGAGACGCGCGCGGCGTGTCGTACTAATATCGATTTGGTCACCCGCCCTCTCCCCTACTATTGCGACAGTGTGAGTGCGCCGTGCGAGACCTCGTCGGGATATTGTCGACATTCGACAGGAAGCGGTGTCCGAATATTAACAAACGCTTTGTGCATTGTAACGGATGAATAAGATGACGAAGTCTATGCTTCAGCACTTTCTAAGGCCATAGCTATTTCTCTAAAGGCTTTGTGCTCTGTAGACAATCGAAAAAAAACTCACACGCATGAAGTATAAGGTGCACATTATCACAAATTATCAATATGTGACCAATATGTGAAGAATATGAACAAAAATACAGAATTCATATTTTTGTAATAGATGCAACATTATTCCCCCTGTTATCCCTGGTACTCAAATATTATTTGGGATACGAAATTCCATGAATAAAATTACGACTTTATTGATTTAATTAAGAATTTGAAATGGTTGTCAATAAAAAATAGTTTAAATAAAAAAGGACATTTGATTAGAAAATGGTTATGTTACGACAGATAAAATTGCATTTTCACTTAGGATTACGAAGGCAAGCCAACCAACCACTTGTGGCTTGGGTGACTTACTAAGCTATATTACGGGAAAAGGGATTTACTTCTACGCTAAACTTTTTTATTAAAAAAGAAGGTATTGCGTAATTACTAAAAAATAATCGAAAGTCAGACGTAATGCATCAAACATGTGCAAATTTAATCTGGAAAGCTATTATTTTCTACATAGCATCCTCTTTAAGTTTCATTAAATATTTTTCTAATAACTTCGGTATCTATTTGTGATTACGATTTATTAAATCTGATTCATAATTTAAAAATATTTTACAATTACAATTATATTCCTTATACATATTAGTATTATAATCCATAGTTAGATAAAGAAATAGCTAAATATATTTGGAAAGAAAAGGTATAACCGTGGACGCCTCACAGTAAGCCCCTAAAAGCGCAGTCATTACCGGCTCAATCCCATCACGGCAATGAATCTCACGCCCTGAGGGAGCGTTTTAATTTGAGTTTTACTGCGGCTCAACAAGACCAAAGCCTGTTATTTATTAAGGTACAATAAGGTGTTTCTCTTTAATTGAATTTATGACACTCACCTTTCGTCCAGTTGTTGCAATTGTGAAGGCTGCTGATAGTTCATGCGCCGCCCGTACAGTGATGCTCCACCTTCTGACATATATCCGTCCATTATATCGTTGCTTCGACCACAGTCCATTTCTCCAGCATTGATCCTTCGCAAGCAATCTCCATCCGACATATATCCGGAAGCAATTTCGAGATCACAATAATCAGGATTTGAAAACCCTGGTCCATAGTTTAAGCGTTCACGTAATCCAACGTTCTCGCGCCCGAAATTGGCTTTCACAGTATTAGCATGATGAGGATATCCGGGAATGTTTTTCTGAGCTAATCCTGATGTTCGCATAGGAAGAGTCAAGTGACTATTATAGCCGCGTAGCAAAGGTCTCATAGGCAAAACATTCATCATAGGATTTTCATCATCTCCTAAAGAATTATCACGACAATGCGAGGGTGTGCTGGATCTACTTTCGTTATCAAGCCTCTTATTTATTTCAGTCAGCGTTTGATTTGGATCGTAATTTTGTTTTGTATCAGATTTACCAAAATGTCGTCTTTGTGCAGCTTCTTTTTCGGATATTTCAGCTTCATTTATAACGTCGTTTATATACGTGGTATTCATGTCTATTCTTTTATTAGTGTGTACGTTGTGAGTTATAGTTTTAGACATTTCAGATCCTGATTCACTCGAAGGTCGATATATAACACTGCTACTGTCACTGGAGTTTGAATGCTGTCCCGTTGTACTATGCGTGGAATTAGAATGCGAGCTTTCAGACATTTGCGAAGTATTATTTTGGTTAGTAGAATTAACCACGGGCATAGGCGATACTGCCAATGTCTGTTTTTGCATAGTATCCTTTGCTACACAAGATGGCTCTCTATTAAATGGAAGGGCACTTACATTATTAGTAGAATTTAAACTAGAATTACTTTGTATCGGACTTAGTTGACTATTTGTACTTTTATTTAAAATATGTCTGTCATCTTTAGATATTTTAAAGGTTCCTTTTACTGCAGCTGTAGGTTTAGGAATACCGGTTTGATTTGGCATTCCGGCGTTTATTCCGGCGCAAGCTTGAACATGATTTGGTGGAGTTTTTTGATGGGTAGAATTTTCAAATCCTCTGGGATCGTGTGGATTTTCAGTTCTTGATTCACTGAGTTTCATTTGACTACCAGATAATTTGACCATCTTTGAATCCGCTTTCGTTTTGGAACACCGAACTTGATCGTCAATTTGATTTAATTTATTATTGCTAACAGATTTTGGTGCAGCTAATTTAGATTCTTTATCTCGTGCTGGGAGCTTAGGGCTATTTCTTGTCTTTTCATTATTACTTGTTTTACTATTGCTTTTGGTTAGGTTTAAGGACGAATCTTTTGGAGATTTAGAACTAACTAATTTAGATTTAACATTCTTTCCTGTTTTATCCTTTGACAGTGTATCATTCTGCTGTCTTATTGTTTTAGGACCGATTAGATGAGATGATTTGATATGTGTATTAGGAGTATTTGAAGACTCATTCAGGCTTAAACTAGAATCGGATCTCTCGCTCTTTGCTGACGAGAAACCACTTGAGGAACTTGTACGTTTAGAAACGGCACTACTTTTGTTGTTCTGTTTTTCTGCACTAATTTTGTCTTTGTTGAAAAGTTTTAGCTTATCAAGCATAGACTGTTTAGTGGGAGTACCATTATGGCTGGCTTGAGTTTGATGAGTTGATGCTTGTGTTATTGTCGAGGGTATTTTACTCCCGGGTGCAAGAAGTGATGAGTTGGGACGAGATCTGCAATAATAAAATTAATTAATAAATTATTTTGTTCAATTTAGACAGTTTTTTTAATTATATAGATATACTTGAGCTTTTTTATATTATGAAAATGATTCAGTAAGACGGCAAAAACAAATAAAAATTGTATCACCGAAAATTTAGTTTAAGCTTTTCTAATGTAAAATTTATTTGCCTTAAATTTAAATCTTTTTCAATATTTTAATTATAATCATTGACGTGTGATTTTTCATTAAATGCTCACCCAGATGAAGAAGTTGGAACTCGCGGTATAAAACTGACTGCTCCTTGCCCAAGAGGACTTGTAGAACGACTCGAGCTGGCTGATAAACCAGTCTTGCTACCTGCAACATTTTTCATTTTAAATGGCTTTATCTAATAGTTTATTTATAATACATACATATTTGAAAACCATTGTTATTCACGTAAAACATGCCTTGTTACTATATCGTTATGATGCACTTATGAATTAGTTTTTTGTCTTATAATTGTAACGTAAATATAACTCAATGAGCAATAAAAAGGAGCATTTGGAGTAGGCGCTTATGATTAACACTTTCTCTTTTAGATATTGAAATTTTTATACATTTTATATATCAGAAAATAATGATGAAATAATTTGGGGTATTCTCAAGGTTAACCAACATTCGTTGTTAAAAGCAAACAGTCACTAGATAAGTGTGAACTTTTATCAAAAACCGGCACGGGTGGTCGGCGTTGCGCCCGCGACACACTAATGATCAACCGAACAGAATCGTGAACAACTACAACGTATGACCAGCTCATGAAGACATTTGTAACCCTTCCAGCTACAAACTAGCGAATCCATATATAGGAAACGTTATTCATTTCGATGGCTCTTGTTCAACTGGTTCTTTATATCGATCGTCGCTAAACAAAATTATAATTCGTGATGTCATATCATTGCTTTTACAATTTAAATGTATGCGTGTGCGTAAAGCGCCCTAAACACGGACGTTAATTATTCAATACTTGGCCTAGAGTCATTTTTCAGCGTTTCTAATTCGTGAATTCCTTACGTCAATTCAAATCAAAGAAGGGGTATTATTTTGAAACGTCACTTTTCTCCAGGATTTTCTCCTGTTATACTACGACCAAAAACTTACATACATTATGTAGAATAGGGACCGCAGCGCATAAAATAAACTTTCACTGTTCGAAAATCTTCTATTATAATCTATATATATCTAAAAATGAATTGCTGTTTGTTAGTCTCGCTAAAACTCGAGAGCTGTTGGACCCATTGGGCTAATTTTGGTCTTGAATTATTTCTTATAAGTCCAGAGAAGGTTTAAAAGGTAGATAAATATGAAATTGCTCGGAATTAAATAAAAATAACAATGTTGCTTTCCCTTTGATGTGTCCCCCGTCGGACGGATTCCTTTTGTTTGTTTTAAGTTTATTTTATACAAAGTTTTATGTATTTTATTTATCGATTGAGGCACTACGAAGTCTGCCGGGTCAGCTAGTTTATAATATAAATTAATTAATTTCGATTTTTTTGTGTACATCTATTTCTAAATAATAGCATTTAAAATATAAATCTAATATCTTGCGTATGGTAACAATTAATTTAACTCCTACATAGTTTAATAAAAGGAAGTGCTCCTAACAAGTAATGTGCAAAACATCATTGTTAATCAAGAAAGCCCGGCCGCATCCGTCCTTTATCCAGACCGCGACAATCCATCACTTTATTACAACAGTAACTACATACATATAAAACTGACCACTATGTAATTGATACCCACACATATGCTCAATAAACGCATCTCTACAAAATGAAGTTTCCCATTGGAATATTTAACAAAATTCAATTAAGATTGAAATAATTATTGTTTACGGTTTAATTTTTTTAGTTCTCGAAGCATCCGATTAGTCAAAAGCAAAGTGAAATTTTATATCAAAACATACCAGTTGAAAAATTCACGGACACTAAAAAGTAAATTAGAACACGCACCCAAAAGCTCCGGTCGGTCTAAAAAGTGCTTATTTATACGGCTAATAGAACACCATAACTAATTACATCAATTAACACGAAACAAGTTCAAACAAACGGGATGAGCTCTCGCTCCGAGCATTCCCATTCAACTGAAGATGCATCTGCATACACACCGACGAACTATCGCTTCAATGATATCACTCCGTCCCAATAAGTCTTGAGATAAGCTCGTGAGAATCATAACAAATCGGACGACAAGAATTTTATTTGCCAGTGTCCTAGATTGATCGTGATATAAACTGTTTTTTTTTTATTTTTTTTTTTTATTGCTTAGATGTGTGGACGAGCTCACAGCCCACCTGGTGTTAAGTGGTTACTGGAGCCCATAGACATCTACAACGTAAATGCGCCACACACCTTGAGATACAGTTCTAAGTTCTCAGTATAGTCTAAGTATAGTAATTGTATTTCGGCCTATTTAAAAAACGTAGTTGCGACTATCTGTCTCCAGAATACTTCTTACTGCTTAACACTTACATCATAATCCACCAGCTTTTTCCGTTAATAGCCAATAATTAAATAATCAGTAATATATTTATAGCTTTAAAGTATGAACTACCACTTAATTTCTGTTTGTTGACTGACTTACAAGTCCACAATCTAAATGACTAACAAAACATGTCTAATCCCGAGATAACGTTTACTTTGACACATGTGTCGCAACATGTTCGTGAACGGTTACATAACTCAGATGGGCATTCGACTAGATGGGTAGACGTGCTCACGGTCCACCTGGACTTAAGTGGCTACCGCAACTCACTTTGCGACATGAGGTCGATGTCACTACTGTATTTTATAATAACTGTCCCACCCATCAAACCGAAACGCCTGAAAATTGTATGGCTTAAAGCGTTGTCTGATCTCAAAGTTACATAAAACAGTATTTAAGTTGCTTAGATCAAACACGATAAGATAATATCAAAATTAAATATCTAAATTTTAGAAAATATGTTTGTTATGACCTGTATGAAATTTCGAAAACGATTGTTTTTTATTTAACTTAAGAGATAAATTTCATATAAAGATTATAGAGATTATATATAGAGATAAATTATGTTTCAGTTAAGAGAATTATTATAAATTAAGTAATAAATTAAGATATAAGTAAATAAAACTTTGGCGACAAATTTATGTTACTACTTTCGTTTAACAGTAAGATTAAATTTAATCGAAGATTTAAAGACAAAAGGGACTAAATGTAAATGCTACATTTACCTTATTCTGTATTGCTACAAAGTATTTCTTTAATTTGTATCTCAATCTTAATGAGAAGTTAATGTATATTGCAATTTCCACTAAGGTTTATTTCAACGAAATCAAATACTGTAATTAGAATAATGAGGGCTTATAAAACCGTTTTTTCTATTTCATTCTCCTTTCTCATAACAAAGCGACAATAAAATACATATTTTATTTCTGAATGAGGAATGTTTTGTTAATAAAATCGATATTGAACTCGACGACTTTTATAAGATTTAAAATTTTTATTGTCTTCATGGATTATGAAAAGTTATTTTGTTTTAGTTTATTAAAATTATTTTAAACGTAGTAGTATATTATGGATATTTGATGTACATACATGTTGAATAAGTGGCCATTTTTTACGAAAAGATCTGAAGACTTTGAGGAAAATTCTTGTTTAGAGTGACGACGGATTAATATAATCTAATCAAAACAGAATATTATTATGTTCTTACCAGTATAAAGTTATACGTAGAGAAACTCTCAATTAGCGAATTTACAGAAACGAGAAATGTTTCACTTCATACATTCGTCCATAAAACGAAGCAAGGTTTACAGTCATTTAATTAACATACGTGAATATGTTTTACGTCGTAAAAGTCCCATATAAAATTAATGAAAATTGCATTATCGACATAATTGACAGTAATAACATGGTTAAGATAACATTTGAAGCGTTCGCGATCGAATGGGTGTGACGCCCGGTGTACAAAGCGATGCGACCATCTCAGGATTAAAATTCTGCATATAGAATATCGTGTCCTCTCAATAAATACGTGCCTAAAACGTGTGAAGTAATTTCCAAGATTAAGGAATAAGGTCGGGTTCTCATTATAAAGATTCAAAAAATTATAAAGTAATATGTAATGAAATAGTAAGTAATAATTAATTATTATTGGTAGAACGTGTTGTGAAGTGAGGGGTAGGTATCATCTGTTCTAAAACTGTGAAGGTAATGACGGCTTTTACCGATTAGACATGAGGTCTTAAGGTGTGCTGAAAACGACATTATTCCAGTGAATTTTTTTTCCAACATAAAATTTAAAAAAATACGAATTAACAGAGTATTTATAAACATTTTACGATTTGCATTCAACAAGAATACGGTAGGAACGTCAAGGAGCTTAGACTTTCGCATTATAAGCTTACTGTAACTAGTTATTAATATTCCATTCGGGGCAAAGAACTTTCATTCACTATGGTACTTATAGTTCAGTACTTTTAAAGCAGGAAGCGTGTATTGTGTCTGCTAAGTGCATTTCTGACGATAGCTTTTCAACAGTTTACCTCTCAATATTAAAACATATTATTATGTATAACAACGTTATGAAAAATCGTTCCGAATAATAAATAAGGAAGTTTAAGGATACACAATTGTTATTTATGTTTTTCAATTTGTTTACGACAGCGAATGTTTGTAGTACCTACGTGTGTTAATGCCGAAATGTGCTCTGATATTTTAACATCACTAGTGTCATCCAAATAATGAGTGATATAAATATAGACATAACTGAATTTATATATAAAAATAAATTCAGTTTGTTTAAAAAATTTAAGAGTTGTTTTGTTGTACATTAATTTTTATTGTAAATTTTATTGGTTTTCAATTTTTTATTTTGCTGTTAACTCATAAGATAGAAAATGGCGAATAACAAAAAAAAAAGAGAGAGTGCTAAGAATAGACAAAAACAATTTTGCCTTTGCATATATATAAATACAAACTCATTTATGTCTTATATTTACAGGCGGCTTAAACTATCTTATATGGTGGTAGAAGGACCTCTTGTGAGTCCGCACGGGTAGGAACCACCACCCCGCCTATTTCTGCCGTGAAGCAGTAATGCGTTTCGGTTTGAAGGGTGGGGTAGCCGTTGTAACTATACTGAGACCCAGTATGTATATTAATATAGCTTTTGGAAAATAAGATTTTTTTACCTGCATGCCCGGGAGTGGCTGGTAGTGGTCTTTTGTCGGGAGGCGCTCGACGCACCGCCGCCGCTGATGCAGGCAGAGGAATGGACGTCTGCAGCACCGATACTTGTCTATAACAAAACAAAAATCCATCACAATACCAGAATAAGATAATAATCTGCTTAATGTTCTATATGTTACACGAAACTCAATATTAACCGAACATACATCGTCTTCTCGCATTAAAAGTGTATAATCTCAAAACTTACAAATCTTACAGGAGAATCTTTTAAAGGTTTAACATGTGATATTTTTAATATTAATAGTCTTTGCAACAGTTATTTTTTACCAGTTACATTATCTGTCTTTTAAAATAAGATAAAATTATTTATTAATTTTGTTAATGGTGGTGAAAACATAGGTAAACTAAAAAAAACCTAATATGAAACTACGCTCTTTTGACCGTATTTACGAGAAAAATACTGGTGATACCAAATGATTCCGCATATTAACTCAATTTCGAATATTTTTGGAATTTGTACACTTTTAATGCGAAAAAACGACATATTTAGGTAGGTACCTACTAAAGAATTTTAAATTGCTCTCAAATAAAAAAAAATACCGACATCTATATTTCCGACTATTTTCAAGTAATTCGGTTAAAATAATTACTAACATTCTTCGATTATTTTTTAAGTAAATCGTTTTAATAGGCTTTCAAGCCTACTCACAATAAATAGCCTTCAAGCTAAACTGGACGCTCTAACTTACATAATTTAATGCTAAATCATTAGTTAGAGAAAATAAGAAATATGTATAAAATATAGTGTAAGAAACAACTCCCTAACGTCGTGGTTATGTAAACTGTATTAATCTACCTCAGTTCTCGACGCGCCGCGGCCACAAGGATAATCGAATCAACTGGTTAATAACCCCGCTTGATAAGTGATCGCTTTTAATGCTTCACTGATTATTATTGATTGATTCTTCTTTATATAGTGGTAACATAATGTAAACGAAGAAATGAACATTTTTATTATTAGCAGTTTTTTTAATTTACTTGTCTTAAAAAATATATTGAAAACTAACTGAAAACTGTGTAGGGACGTTCCTTGTCGCGTTTTGTTTAATTCAGTATATTATGATCGGTTTGAATTCTATTTGTAAACAATATTTTAAATAAAATCATTTATACTACTTCTTACATATAGCTACATAAAGATGGTATTTTGATTATACCTAATCCAAGAAAAGTATTGCTTATCAAGATAATTTCGATATAAAAAATTGATGAAAATTATCCTTAATTACTTATAAAACTTAAAAGATGTTATATTTACGGATCTCAAACGTGATATATATTTATAAATTTAAATCAAATTAAGTCTACTGACTAAAACTTCTACTACGATCAACTATTGTATTACAAAAATGTAATGAATACATAGCACTCCCTTGTACCTTACAGTACACTGTATTATTTATCCAGAGCCGGACTTCAGACACGATAAAGGTAATAAATAACGACACTTAGAGAAGGGTTGTTAAGGCTACATTGTCGGGTTAATGGATCCTCATACACCGAAGCAACACATAGGGATACTAACGATATGTGTATTATAATACTAGCTGATTTTATTTAGTCTTATGTCTATTTATCTTGTTATGTAGAATTCTTTTTACTGCTGGTAGGAAGTCTTGTGAGTCCTCACGGGTATCCGCACCACCACCCTGCCTATTTCTGGCGTGAATCAGTAATGCATTTCGGTTTGAAGGGTGGGGCAGCCGTTTTACTGTAAAAACTGAGGCTTTAGAGCTCGTGTTTCAAGATAGGTGGCGACATTTACGTTGTAGATGTCTATGAGCTCCGGTAACTATTTAAAACATCAGGTGGACTTAAGCAATAAAAAAAATTCAAAATAAAGACGTACTACAACCAGTAAATTCGTCGGTTTTAATGTTTGTTGTGTATTCCAGTAAATCGCTAAAACAACCGGACTGACTACTAATTTTTTTTTTAAGCTAGCGGCATCGCAATTTTTTTTTTTTTAAATACTTCTAAGGTATTTTTTTTGTAATTAAATTATTGTTGTTTTTACAATTTTCTGGTATTTACTGTGAAATATTTAATTTAATTTACTGATCATTTTTGTACAAAACGCTTTATTTATAACATAGTTTATGACGCTTTTACCGATTTTTGTTTATTACATAAAGGTGTCAAGAAATATTCCTAATAATTTTCTATTTAATATTAAATATGTAAACATATTATGGTCTCTTGACTAAACAGAGTAGGTATAGAAAAGTAATTTGCTTTTATAGATGCATTTCCACGATCACAGTTAACTGTATTGCTTAATGCTCTTCGACAATCTTGTTTGTGTTACTTGTGTCAACATATTTGTTTAGATAATGATATTAAGTGCAAAATTTCCTTGATATCAGATTCAATCACTAATATAACAATACATTTACTTATAACAAATTAAATATTTATGTTATACTAGCTGACCCGGCAGACTTCGTAGTGCCTCAATAAAATACCTAAACTTTTGTATAAAATAAACTTAAAACAAACAAAAGGAATCTGTCCGACGGGGGACACATCAAAGGAAAAACAAAATTGTTATTTTTAGTTAATTTCGAGTATTTTCATATTTATCTACCTTTTAAACCTTCTCTGGACTTCCACAAATAATTCAAGACCAAAGTTAGCCAAATCAGTCCAGCCGTTCTCGAGTTTTAGCGAGACTAACGAACAGCAATTAATTTTTATTTATATGGATAATAATTTAACACTGTTTCTCTGATAAAAGAATGTTTTTGTTTTTGTTGTGGTTGGAAAGTGTAAGAGAATAAATTGAACCTATAGATAGGATAAATGGCGCTCTCATCTAGACAGCTAGCTTCCAGTCGCGGTCGTGACTCACGTTTTTATTATAAACCTCCGTCTAAGAAGGTGCTGTCTAAATATATAAATTACTTATTGAAAGTCATAGCTGTGATAAAGTAAAACACCTCTATAACTTCGTCGCAATAAGAAGCTATATTTTATGTTAAAATTCACCATAAATTTAACTTGATGAAATGTACACATGCACTTTGATTAGCGTTCGGCTAATTTATTAATACCTAACGCAGTAATATTTCGATTAAGAGAAACTGAAAATAGCATTTGAAATTAACGGTCATCAAATATTCGCTACTCGCCGCTAGATGACGCCACTTCACTGTTTTAATATAGTCTATTGAAACGTGCAAGCACAAGTATGTATATGTGCCGATGTTTGGCTCATTCGATTCTGCACCAATTACTCGAAATGTTAAACTGAATCTCTTCATTATTGTTATTCAATGAAAATACAAATAACTGGAATATTAACAAATATTATGAATGCTAGTTTTTATGCTTATCCAAGCAATAGATAAGCGAGTGATGTTCTGTACTAACAATATTTAATGTTAGAACGGTGTTTACAATTTTCATTACGTCGTAATATCATCGGATACATCGGAATTTCATAACATCTCCGATGGACGTTATCGATAGACTTAGATATCACTGCTTTGTTTCGATCGCTGAAGATCGAATACCACATCATTAACGGAACACAATGAGGACGGTATCTAAACAATGAACATCTGGTGCCTTCACCTTCGCCCGCTCATACCAAGTGCACTCATGCATCATGCTTATGTGGACATTATTACACTTAGGGTAAATTTAAAAAAATCAAAGAAACATCTAATAATAATAATAATAAAGCCTGTTTATTTCCAATCCATAATGATAATGTATTACATGCGATTTAATATCTAAATATACTAGGGTAGAATTTCTTTAATTTTCTTTTATTCGCTAACGTTGCTTTCTCCTGTATCAATGATCGGAACCCCTTCTCGGGTAAAGGCCTCCTCCAGCTTCTTCCAAATCCCTTTATCCATGGCTTTCCTTATCCAATCGCTTCCTGCTATCGTTTTTATATCGTCTATCCATCTTTTTCTAGGGCGCCCTGTTCTTCTTTTTCCTTTTGGTCCTTTCCACATAGTTGTCTGTAATGTCCATCTTTTGTCTGTGCGTCTTGCTATATGTCCTGCCCACTGCCATTTCTGTTTTAAAGCATATTGTAAGGCATCTATAACTTTAGTTTTTTGTCTAATTTTTTCGCTTTTTACTTTTTGTATTTTTCTTATCTTTAGTACGCTTCTTTCCATTGCTTTTTGACATGTTATTAGTTTATTTTTTGTTTTGGTGCTGAATGTCCACGTTTGGCATCCGTATGTAAGAGTAGGTAGGACACAGGTATCCAACACAATTTTCTTTAGGTAAAGGGGGAATTCCCCTTTCAAGATTTCCTTCAGGGACCAAAACTTTTTCCAACTCATGTTGATACGCCGCTCCACCTCTAGTTCTTCATTTTTGTCATCGAATGATAGTTGTTTTCCCAGGTATATGTAATTGCTCACATATTCAAGCGGCTTTCCTTTCAAGTATATGGCGTTAATGTAATCATTAGTAACTATTTTTGTTTTATTTTCGTTCATTTTGAGGCCCACCTTTTCGCTTTCTTCATTTAAACTTGTTATCATTCTTTCTAATCCTTTGCTTGTTTCAGAAAATAAGACAATATCGTCTGCGAATCTGAGGTGTGTAAGCCGATCTTTGTTAATTCTAATCCCTTCCGCCTGCCAGTTAAGATTATCAAAAACGTGTTGTAGTACCATTATGAACAGCTTAGGTGAGAGAGGGTCTCCTTGTCTTACGCCTCTACGGATCGGTATATCAGGACCTCGCGTCTCCAGTTTGACTTGGCTTACGCTACCTTCGTAAATGTCTTTCAGTACTCTTACATAGTTTTCGTTTATGTAGCATTTATTCAGCGCTTCCCAAATAGCATCATGAGAGATCGTATCAAACGCTTTGGCGTAGTCAATGAAAGCAATGTAAAGTGGCTTGTTGAATTCCTTGTATTTCTCCATTACTTGTTGTAAAACTTGTATATGATCCGTTGTAGAAAATCCAGAACGAAACCCTGCTTGTTCTACTGGCTGATAGTTATCTATCTGCGGGCTCAGCCGGCTTTGTAGTATTGACGTGAACAGTTTGTATACACTTGAAAGAAGACTA